CTACTGTTATTATACACATATGATTATTGTCACATATGTACACTATCAGATATTAATTCAACATACTGTACCACAATAGCCAGAATTATAATTATAATATTATTACTTTCATTAATATTGTTGTAAGCTACTGTCATTATCGTCTGTCCTGCATCTCTCTCTGTCTCCCTTTCTGTATCATTGGGTCCTGAGGACAGAGGGATGTTGTATGCTGTAAAGCCCTGTGAGGCAAATTGTAATTTGTGATATTGATTGATTGATTGATTGATTGATTGATTGATGTCCTCGTCAGTAGTTTGGTTTTCAGAAGCCATCAAAGTTCTACTCCCAAGTCATGGGTTTCTTGCCAAAAATGACCTTGCGTTATATTGACATTGCTTGTTTTATCGACATTTCGACTCCTATGAATAGGCTAATTCACACCGTCTATGTGAGCTGGAGGCCGACAGCGAGGATCCGAGGTCCCGCCCATCACTGCTTGCAGCTTTAATGTTATTTATTTGTTGAAGTGCCCCTGCGGCCTTGCTTACATTGGCAAGACCTCCAGACCTCTGAAGAATAGAATCTCAGAGCACAGAAGTACCATCAGAAATCATGATCAGAAAAGTCCAGTTGCCTGTCATTTTAATTTGATGAACCATCCTGTCGCTTACGTGGGCATTGAGCATGTTCACCCTCCACAGCGAGGGGGGGACATTAACAATCTGCTTCTGAAACGTGAACTGTTTTGGATATACACTCTGAACACTATGGCACCCAAAGGCCTTAATGAAGAATGTGACATTAGACCCTTTCTCTAAACTGTTCTAACTCTGCTGGTCTGCATGTATTTCTGTTTTTGCTGTATACTTACACAAATACTTATACTGCTGTGCCCTGGCTGCTCATTGATGTGCATTTATTTCCATTTTTTGTAAGAGGCGCCTCTTTTAGCATATTTGATGCTGTATGACGGTCCTACCTGATGTTTTTGTACTCAGACTGCTTAAAGTGTGTTTATATTTTTAAAATTGTGTACCATGTTGCATCTTCATGGTATTTATGTCTCTACACTGACTAGGTGTGTGTGTGGATATATAGTCGAGTGTGTATATCGCCATATTATTGTTGTTTTCTACACTTTGTATAATTAATGTGGAAGTGGCATCAGCTGTTTTTCATCATGTGACCACTTACCTATTTAAAGATGGCGTCTCCCATTGTCCTGTATGAACTGATGAAGAACGGTAGCTCGAAACGTCTTCATTTTACTCTGTGAATAAATTGCACTGCAGAGGAGCCCTGCAGTGTGTAAGCCTTTTCTTTACCTGCTCAGCTTTCCACATTTTTGAGCTCAGCACCTGCACAGTTTTGTTTGTGGATGTGCGTGCTTTTTGCTACTTTGTTGTGCATAAATTGGCCCCAATACTTGCATTATGCGGTGACATGAGGTGGGAGCCATGTGAGGTGAGGCATGGGTGTGACATGGTGCGTTTCTGGAAAAGGCTGATCAATATGCCTGATAATAGACTTACTAAACAATTTTTTTTATGGGATCTCTTAAACAATTATTCTTGGGCCAGGCAGCTTGAAAATTTATTTGATATGGCTGGTCTTCAGTATGTATACAAAATTAAATTATCTTGTTCTGTCAGTCAAATTAAAAGAGTATTATCTGAAAATTATAAACAAAAATGGTCAGAAGAAGTTCAGTGTAAACCAAAACTGAGAGCCCAGAGCGCTATGTCACCCCCAACCTATCCAGAGCTCAGAGGTCAGTTTGTGCCCAGCTGAGGTGTGGTATTCTGCCTCTGGCTCTAGAGACTGGACACTTCCATTTGATCGCTGAGGAAGACCGAAAGTGTTGTTTGTGTGATCTGGGAGAGACTGAAAATGAATTTCATTTTTTGTTTTACTGTCCTTTGTATCACAACCACAGGCAAAGGCTTTTCGGTAAAGTTTTATCTGAAGATGGACTGGATTTGTTTTCAATGTCTGATGAAGGCAGTCTCCAGTATTTATTTTCAGAAAAGATATTCCTAGTAGCTAAGTTCATCCAAAATGCATACAAGCAGCATAGGAGTACACTATTTGTGTGAAACACTATTACCACCTAACATTAATATGCATGTAGGTAAGAATGTCCATGGGTATAGATATGTATGTATGTCTATATATATATGTATATGTGTGTAGGTGTGTGGATGCATATATGAAAGCATCATTTCCTGTACTTTCCATTTGTTTATGTTGTATGGCTCCTTTATGTCAATTTAAGTGTCTTGTAAGCCCATGAGGGCTGGGCACCATTGGTGTATGACACTTGGAAATAAAAAACGAACGAACGAACTAACTAAAAGGTAACAGTTTGGTTACAGTACTCTTTTCTTCTTTCCAAGAGCTATTGGGAAATAAAACGTGGAACACACCACCTGTTATAGCTCAAACAGGAATATGATCATCCCTCTGCCATCTCTGACAGCCATCTCAAAGCACTGTTGGGTTTTTTTTCCTTTTCAACTGAGCACGCTGGCAATTAACTTGCCTTGCCCTGTAAAGATATTGTTAATTTTAACGTGGCCAGAGCTAGCTTAATGCAAACATCTGCTCCTTCTAAAGAGGATTTCTGATGACTTATTAAGTAATATTAAGTAAATGAACATAATTTAGTATTAACTGTAAGTCCATGTAAAGTGAATAAATGTGATGTTTCCCAGCTAATCCTTTGCTAGTCTGTGTTAACCACGTAGTTTACATGTTTTTATAGCTTCTGATTTATTTAAAACTATTCTGAGCGAAACATGAATCTGAATTTAGCAGCAGACTTCAGTAATAGTAATATAAAGTAGTAGTAAAAGAAATAACTTTTGACATTCATTTTTTTATATGATATAAAGGAAGTATGCTAAATCAGTAACACATTCTTAGCCCTAATGACTTAATACATATTTCAAGGTATGTTGCTGAGTTTATTTTCAAATGTAGGTTGAGAATGAAGTCAGACAGGGAAAGACAGGGATATCATGTACTGACGTTGAGGTCTCGCGGTCATTCTCTTTTGCAAATTCTGATTCATACTTTTTCTCTATGTCTCTTGAAACTCTTGTGGTTTTATTTCTCAAATTAATAGTACCTTTGGCAACAGGAACAATCCCTTTTTGTTCTGGTTACATGTTCAACATACAACAGGTACCAGAGCTCCGCAAAGACATTTTAGAAAATGCTAAGTTAACATATGTTAAATATTTGTTAAAAATTAAATCAGTATTTGCTAAACTGAAGGCAAATTACTTTTGAAAAGAACCAGCGCTGTAGGTCAGCCACCAAGAGTAGCCACTGGGACTAACCACAGACAGTCTATGGGACTAACTAGCTTACTGCTACTTCCGCCATCCCACAGGAAGCTGCGCACATAATCATTTCTACAGTAGTGCCCTCAGGAATAAGGTGGATATGTTATTTGAATTTTTTTTCTTTTTAATTCATGTTTCACTGCTGGCATATTTATAATAGCTTATTTTGGGGTCTGTGTGTGTGCTTTGCAGGCACGCCATGGCCCGACTGCACACTGCGGTGTGGCGCGTCCAACACTACTGTTGTGTTGTCTCTGAGGGTTTTATCTCTGGCTCCTGCCTATAATTGGCTCTCTGCAACCTCGCAGCCTTGGCTGGTTTGTCTCCGGACTCGCCTCCACAGTTTGTCATTGCCTTTCAATGAATGTTGCCTCTCGCCCAATGTCAGCTAGGATAGGCTCCAGCACTCCTGTGACCCTCAAGAGGATAACCGGTTACGAAAATGGATGGATGGATGGAAGTCTTTATGAATCTGTCTAAAAAAAGCTGTAAGAGAGTTTATTTTACAGTTTGGGTGCAGTTTTCTGTAGCACTTCACGTGTTTGCAGCCTTGCTCTGGATAACTGAGTGGATCTTTCTTAGGTTCTGTCGGACTCTGACAAACTCCATCATGTGGGCTTCCTCTCTTGTCTTTTCTTCTTGTTTCTTCTCCCTCTGAAAACATATACGGAAAAGCATTTGTGATATACTGATGTATAGATGATAGATCATGTAAAGATGGCAAAAAGTCTTATTCCAAGAGGAGGGCAAAAATGTGAGATTCATCATGTGCATTGAATGAGTTTACACTAGAGTCACTTACACTTTGCAATGACTGTAGGAAGCAGTTTGTGTTTTCTGTGTCTGTTCTTAGGGCCCAAGCAAGTGCATGGGCCCAACAGTCTATTACACTGAAATTGCCAGGAAACTATTTCATGTTTGGTTTTTTTTCATTATCAGATTTAATCCCCAAGTATGTGCACAGGGTTGAATTAGACTCCAGTTTGTTATGCCTCTGTGCCAATGATAGCTGTGGCCAGTGTTCGTTTTCGGGTTTTCTGTCCGTCTGTCCATATGTACATCTGTACGTATGTCTGTACATCCATCTGTACATCTGTCCGCCCCATGTTTGTAAACGCCTTAAGGGAATATCTTCAAATTTGGCATAAATGTCCACTTGGACTCAACAATGTCTGGATTAGATTTTGGTGGTCATAGGTCAAAGGTCAAGATCACTGTGACCTTGTTTGTCTCATTCCTGAGAATGCAATATGTCAAGAATGCGTTGAGGGAATTTCTTCAAATTCAGCACAAACGTTCACGTGGACTCAATGAAATGAATAGATTCTGGTTTTCAAAGGTCAAGGACACTGTGACATGTCTATCTAATTCTTGTAAATTAAAATTTGAAACAAACGTTCACTTGGACTGAAAAATAAATTGATAAGAATTTTTTGGTCAAAGGTCAACAAAATATATTTTTGGCCATAACTCAAGAAGTCTTCTGCTAATTATGACAAAACCTCACACAAATGTCTAAAAGGGAAAATATTGACCTTCAAAAGGTCAAAGGTACACTTTACTGTAACATCATAATGTTTTGCAAAAACACTTTTCTGGCAATTATTTAACGTCATATCTCAGGAACAGAAGGGGAGCAATTTGATAAGGTATTGAATTGGAGACACTTATGCTGAAACTGTGCTGATTGTATAGATCTTCTGTGCCGCAGGGGGGAAGATGTATCTGAAGCATCCATGTTTTTAAAGACATGGATGTAAACTGTAAGAGAAAACTGACTGGTGCACAGAGGCATATAACCGCAGGGTGGTAATTCTAGTTTTTAATTGCTCTCAACATACATACACAAAATAAACATATAGCTAAAACCAAGGACAGCAAAGCTGGCCAAGGTAAACATTAACATATGACTACTTGAAACATTTAACTACTACGTACATACGTATTTGGGAAACACCGATTTATAAGCAAGGAATCAGCATTTGCCAATATTTGCCTTGTTGACAGCCAGCGGCCTATCAGCAAATAAGACAGCATTCACAGATGGCTGATATTTTTTTGTTATGTCATATCAATTTTGCTCAGGCATAAAAGCAGGGCATGAGACCAAGAGTATTCCACTGTCCCAAAAGAGACAATACCAAACTTGTTTAAGGGAAAGTGTGGCTTTAGACAGTAAAATCACACTTGTGAAATTATTTCAGCATATTTTTGTAAGTATGTTATTGGATAACATTAAATATTTCATTAAACAACAATGAATGATCATAAGTGTTTTGTACATACAGTCAGTTTTAATGACATTTCACTACCTTTACTATAAAAGGACAAATGAAGTGTTTGGTGGAGCATGTTTTTTTTTTTTTCTGTAGGAGGCCAACTGCAAAGACATACTATTTAAGGACCCAGCAATATCTTTTGGATTTTCTTTTGCATACAGTTGAAGTCACAGTAATGTAACAAAGAACAGTTTAGTACCTTGACATGTATTAGTTCCTTACATTATCACGCCACCTCAGGTAATAATAATGATATTAAATATTAATAATAATAATAAAACACAGTAGAAGTTACTCCAAAAATGTAATGTATTACACATTACTAGCTGCCTTCATTTGAAAGTAATATGTTTCTTTACAATGTAACTCTCTGTTTAGAGTAATAAGTAACTTATTACACTACTTTTATGTTACTTTGACCAAAATGAGCTCAGAAGAATTAATGTTAATTTTAAATGGATGAGGGTCATGTTGTTTCAAATTTGCTAATCAAAGAAGCACAGAAGCTCAAGTTTATTACAGTTCATTTCAAATCCAGTACTGCAGGTTTGACCCATTCATGCATTCACAAACAGTGGTTACCACAAAATGGAAAAGATGATAAAGAATGACAAAAAAAAAAAAAAAAAAGGCCTCGGCTTTTAAAAGATTATTTTTCTGGGCTTTTTGCCTTTACTTGACAGGACACTGTGTGAAATGGGGAGACAGAGAGAGAATGGGGACTGACATGCAGCAAAGGGTCGCAGGCCAGACTTGAACCTGCGACCGCTGCAGTGAGGCAATGCCTCTGTACATGGGGCGCCGGTACTATCCACTACACTACCGATGCCCTGCCGAGGCCTTTTTTTTTTTTTTTCAAAAAAGGAAATAGCCTTGGACACAGGGATGGTCAGGCAGAGGATCAAAGTCTGATAATAATGAGATAGGGGTAAATATTTGTGGGCCTATGATATGAAACACAGTAAACAAATATTGAGATTAGCACAACAAACAGAATGGCGTACAAGAGAGAGACCAGAGGCCTGTACAACAAAGCCAGTTCAACTTACCCAGGATTCTTCTCGTTAACTGGTTTGACTAACCCTAACACTGGCCGTCTGGATAACCGGTGCTACGAAGCTGGTTATCAACCAGTTCAGCTAACTCTGGGTGTTCCTACCCAGCCACGTGCGTTCATGTGAAAGGGGCGGGGTTGTTAATTGTGAGCGTCATCATCAGAACCATGAATGAAGTAGGCTACTTCATATGATATGTGATGACATGGTAGCGAAAGTGTTTCGACAGTAACCTGTCAGTGGCGTGAAATGTTAACGATAAACTGTGATGTGAAAATCTAGAAACATTGAAAACACTATCCAAAAATTCACTGTCATCTGAGACTTGAATTATGTGCAGGTATTGCTGAGCTATGGGCCTATGTAGTTGGGATAAAAATGTGTTGATTCAATCAAATCTACTTCACATCTGGGTACAATCCTTGGCCATGCTAAACTGCAAAGCTTTTGAGATTCTGTAGTATGGCATTTTTATTGCAGCCAGTCAGGAAATGGTATGTAACTCAACTGTATTTGGTCAGATCTGCCCTAAACTTCACATGTTTGATAAGAGTCCCAGTCTGGAGACATCAACATGCCAATATTGAGTTATAGTCAGAGCGCCACCTACTGGTAACAAGAAGTGAGCCTTATGTGGCAAACATCATTCTTTTTACAAGAAATGTGCATGTTTGGGTCTTACTGTTAGATGACATCTAATTAGTGTGTGTTCTTTAGCGCCATATAGTGGACACATAAAGTGGTACAAAATTTGCAATAGGTCATTTCCAATGCTCTCATGCCTTGCAGGAAAAACCATGTCACTCTTGTGTGCAGTGTCCGACTACAATGCAAATATACAGCCGCCTCAACGACTGTCCCAATGGTACCGGCGACGTACGTAAAGGTGTGAGAGCCCATTCATTACTGCTTGCAGCTTTACTTGTAGCTGTATTGTGCTAAATACAAACAAGTCATGTGACTTTGAAATACTGCTAACATTTGCTCAAACTGACATGAACTGACTTCATCCTTTGTGTGTAGGGCATGGTATGAGGCAGTTCTAAATATGTTTGCAGAGTAAAACACATTCAGTTAAGAAAATACTGAAGAATCCATTTGCATAAGGAGATTAAAGGAAGCATTTTTCTGACATTGCTGATGCCCTTATAAACCTATAAAGATGATGTATTACCTCAAGTTGTTTCTGCTGACATCTGAGCAGCACGTCATCCAGAGGAGTCCTGTTCTGTCCCTCCTCTTCCCGTTCACTCTGCATCCTTTTCCTCCTCTCCAGTACCTGCTGAAGTTCTGACCTGCTGCTCAGCACCAGACCCCTTAAGCCCATAGGGAAAGACAAAGCAGGAATTGGATATGGTGGAAAAGTGAAAAGACACATGGTTTATCAACAAAATGACAGGCTCTAGTTTTGTCAAATCTGAAATATGGATGAAAAGGCTTCATATTTACCCAAAATCACCTGTTTAATCACAATGATGTAGTTACAGTACAGAGTACATATAGTGCCTGTTTGTCTCTGCAATTTTAGTAACTGCATACATCTGCTGCAGTCGATAATATCCAGATGTTTCCTTATTCGGTCTTCTCATGCCACAATACCAACTTAAAAGGTACATTCCATTTTTGCTTTGGCCTTATCATCCTTTTTTTATTAGTTTATTTTTTCATGATGATGGTGTTTAAATTTCTGTAATTTACTAGTGTTGGCGGCACAGTCAGCAAGGTCCTACATTTCATTCTCAAGCATCAGAACTCCTCACGAACCTATGCCAGAATCCTGTTTGTGGATTGCTGCTCTATCTTCAATACCACTGTCTCAGCTTTGCTCTAGGACAAGCTCTACCAGCTGCACATGCCTGACTCCACCTGCAGGTGTATCACAGACTTGTTTGACAGGAAGCAGCATGTGAAGCTGCAGAAACATGTCCGGTACCACCAGCATAAGTTCCCCTCGAGGCTACTTTCTTTCCCCTCTACTTTTCTTCCTTTACACCAAAAGCTGTACCTAGAGTCACCAGTGTGTCAAGCTCCTTAAGTTTGCAGATGATAGCACTGTCCTTGGACTCCTCTCTGGTGGGGCAGAGTCTGCCTACAGGTGGGAGATTAACCATATGGTTACCCTGTGTGAACAGAACTGCCTGGCAGAGGTTAGAGTAAGTCACATGTGCAAGTCATAAACAAGTCTCAAGTCGCAACCTTCAAGTTTCAAGCAAGTCCCAACTCACTGTGGTAATCAAGGGAGTCAAGTCAAGTCCTTGCTATAAGTCAAGCAAGTCAGGTCAAGTCATTGGTCAGGTCAAGCAAGTTACAAGTCAAGTCATACTCACAAACTCATGAAGATAATATAAGATAAACTGCACCCAGTAGTGGGATGTAACTAAATACATTTACTAAGGAACTGTAAGTACAAATCAAATCTTTTGTTCTCATGCCACCATCTGCCTCTACTCCACTACATTTATCTGACAGCTTTAGTTACTAATTACTTTATAAATTATTTAATTTTGCACTCGAAACATGAAAATGAACAAGTATAGCTGGAACTGAGTCAATTATTGAATTGACAGAAAAATAAATTTGCCACTTTTTTATAATCAAAGTTGTTTTGTAATGCAAAAACATTTTATGGTTTCAGCTTCACAAATGTGAGGATTTTTTTGCTGCTTTTGCTTGGTTTTTATTATTTTAATAATCAATTTTTATGCTGAGGTTTGAACTGTTAGTTGGACAAAATAAACATTGTGGAAGGTGTCACTTTGGGCTCTGGGTAAGTGTGACACTATCTCTCACTATTTCCAGAATTTTTACAAACCAAACAATCAATCGATTAATGGGGAAAGTAATCAGCAGATTAACCCATAATGAACATAATCTTTCGTTAAAAGTTTAAAATGAGCTCCACCTCAACCAGCTGCAACAGTAAAATCCTGCTTTTACATTAATGCATGAGTCAGAATCAGAGATCATATATAATAATATATATACAGTAGTAGACCAACAGCCACAGGGGACATTTCTACAGTACTTTCACTTGTAATACTTCCTCTCCTGCTCCAAGCCCTCTGGTCAGGGTGAAAGACTCCACTCACATAACATATCTGCTGCAGTGAGAGAGCAGGTGAAATAATAACACATTGTTAACATCCCCAAACACGAGTCGAGCAGGAACGGGAGGCCAAAAAAGTCACTGTGGAAACTATCTCTTGGCACGTGGATGCGCATAGCAAGTGCACATACACACGCTCACAGATAAGGAATTTATTAAAAACCCAGCTCATGTATATCACGCAGACAGAACTGAATAAAAGCACAAAATGAAGCTCCTTTTGAAACACTGTCCTCTGGCAAAGGGCCGCGGTCCAGCAGGAACAAGACCTCATGTAACATGAACACTGCTGCTGGCCTTATTAACAATGCCTGCAACCCCAATGACATATATTATACCTATTTTCCTCTTGCCTTTTACAATTTCATGACAGCTTTCTTCTTTTTCAGAAATGTTTTGCGGTACTTGCTTTTAAATTTAATTTTATTTTCTCTTACTATTTTTATGTCATGCAACAAAAGAAGAAAATTCCATGTATGTACCTGTGTAATAGGGGTATTTGGACCCAACTGAAGCACAATGGAAAGGAGGAGCAGTTGATAATGGTGTTTATTGTCAGGACAGGGCTAGTACACAACACACAGTACAGTTCAACATTCCAGCAATATCTCCACAAAGTCCTTGGCAGCCTATTTGGTTTGGCAGGCCTAACCGGGTCAGGAGACAGGTATATGAGTGGTGGCGTTAGCCCAACAGGAAACACAGTTCAGTTTAATAAGAGGCAGCAGTACCATGGAGCAGCAAGGCAGAGGAGGTAGTTCTGGAGGCAGGGAATCAGGAACCAGGTAAGTCCACAGTCCAAGCAGTAGAACCAGTAGGGGACATGCACAAACAATGGCCCGAGTGGGGACACGGTGAGAATCTATGGACCGCAGAAAACCACAGATAAGCAGGCTGGAATACTCACATACTGTAGTGTTGTTGTTGGATGGTAATGCCAAGCAGCCACAGACAAACAGGAACCAAGGACGTGGAAGCAGGTCTGGTGGTCAGGGACATAAGGCTGGAGCACATACCGGGAATCAGATGAAGCAGTCAGTTCAGAGGGGCAGGCTTGGCAAAGGGAAATCGGAATAAAGTGCTGAAGAGTCTTGCATGATGGCGAAGAACAATCTGGCAATAAATGTCTGTGAGGCTGGGTTATATATACTGGCTGTGAGTAATGAGCAACAGGTAAACTGAGTTGCCTTGATGAGGTGGTAAGGACTGAAGCTGAGGCATGGGAAACCAGGGTGAAAGGAAAATTACTGACTGAGAGCTGAGTGACTGGACATACAGAAAGCGCAGGTGACCAAGGGAGGCAGCACTGTGACAACCTGAATAAACTGTATTCTCATAATGCTCTCAGGTGTTAGTCAATATTCTTTAAGTGGCTTCTGTTGTTGGCTCCTTGTTTATCATTCTGCGCCAGACATACATAGGATGATAAATCGTGGGAGAGTGCCCAAGTCATTTGTGCAGTTATCTTTAGTTTTATATAATTTCAAAGACTTGGTCACCACATTGTTGCTGCAGGTGTAATATAGTGAAGTACACACTCTCCTGCAGTTAGTACACATATGTTCCTACCCGGACTATTATTGTTGTTGCACTCTTGGATGTAATGCCGAAGAAACAAAGTAAACGTTCACTCGAATGATGTGCACTGTCTTGAGACTCATTTATTAAGTCAGATCAACACCGAAGGTAAAACACTATAAATGGTGATGAGGAAAACCGCACCAAATGACAAAAGAAGAAAAAAAACTATCATTCTGGTAATGCGGTAAGTGAACTACCCAAGCCAACACAGAAGCCTAGCAAGCTAAGCTAGCCACCAACACGGAGCATAAAAGCTAACACAAGCTAACAACCGGAAACCGGAGATGACGGTGATTATGATACGGCCGTTGAGAAGCTGCGAGCCTATTTCTGCCCTAAAGTGAACACAGAATATGAAATCTATGTTTTCAGACAAGCCAGGCAAAATGAAAATGAAACTTTGGATGCTTACCACACAAGACTGAGGCAGCTGTCGTCCACTTGTGACTTTGCAGACATTGACAAAGAAATAAAGTCACAGATTATCTTGAGCTGCAGCTCTGCGCACGTCCACCGGGCGGCGCTAAAAGACATGACACTCCAAAAACTACTGGATGCAGCCAGAGCCCAAGAACCGTCAGACAAACAAGCTGCAGGAATAGAGACAGCCAGATCTCAAAAAGAATTCCCTGTCCATGCTGTACAGAAGAAAAGTTTCCAAAGTCAGAGACAAATCAATAAAAATTCAAATGTGAAATGTGAAAACAAGACATGCAACAACTGTGGAGGACAATTTCCACATGAGGGAGGACAAGTGCACTGCCCAGCAAAAGGAAAAAAATGCAAAGGATGTGAAAAACTCAATCACTTTCAAAGGTGCTGCAGCTTACAAAACAAAGACTTCATCCCTATGGCTGCAGAAAAGCAAGCACGACAGCATCCAAAACACAAAGTGCATCAAGTGCAGAAACAAACTGAGCAGAAAGGGGTCATCCCTATGTTACCCAGGTTCTATGTTCCCGTTCTGTGTTCCCCATTTAACCCTGCAAAAAAGGTTCTATGTTCCCCGCTTACACAAAAAAGGTTCTATGTTTCCCGGGTTCTATGTTTCCCTCTTACTGAAAAAAGGTTCTATGTTCCCTGCTTATCCAAAAAAGGCAGGAAACATAGCAATTGCATAAATATGTTGTTTAACATCTCTAAACACACACAACGGAACATAATGGGGAGAAATTACAATCAGAAACTTACCCTTTGGGCGATCTATGGTGGGCAGTCTGGGCAATTATATACTTTACAGAAGGTTTTTTAATCCAGCCGTTAAATGCAGTGTTTCAGTCAGTGCAGATTTCTTCGAGCAGCCAAAGACCAGCTGGTAAGAAAAGAATAATTATCATGGCCGAAATAAAGATAAATAAGCTGTTAAGTACAGCGTTTTTTCGGGAACTCTGTTCAGTAAATCCACCATGATTATTTATTAGTTTTGTGATAAAAATAAATGCGTCTATGTTGTTGATCACGGATGTTGATATCACCTGTTCAGTTCGGTCCTTCGACCAATCAGATACTCAGATTTCTTCCTCTCTTGTTTTTATGACGGTAGCGTCAGGAGCAGCCAAAGACCACCTACTGGAGGGTATTCCAGAAAGCGGGATGTGAAACCTCAGAGTATGTTAACCCTGAGATGAG